ATGAGTTAATATAGATGTAAGAGTTAGTTAATAAGCCTGAGCTAATTGGCCAAGCAGTCTTTTAATTAATATAGTTTCTGTGTGATTATTTTGGATCTGGGAGGCTGGGAAATGAACAGTCTCTGCCTACAGACATGGAGACTTTTTTTTATTTTTTTTTTATTTTTGAGGGTTTCGCTGTAGCTTTGGAGCCTGTCCTGGAACTAGCTCTAGTAGACCAGGCTGGCCTCAAACTCACAAGAGATCCTCCTGCCTCTGCCTCCTGAGTGCTGGGATTAAAGGCATGCACCACCATCACTGGGCTGGAGCCTTTTATTAACAATGAATGCTTGGTTTTATCTTATGCTTGTTCACTAGCTCTTATAACTTAATTTAACCTGTTTCTCTTCATCTACGTTCTGCCTAGGGATTTTTACTTTTCTTTCATTCTGTATGTCCTACCTTTCTGTTTCCTCTGTGTCTAACTGTCTGGCAGCTGCCTGGATGGCTGGCCCTGGGTGTCTTTCTTGTTAGCCCTCTCAAGCCTAGATTCTTCCTCCTACTTATTCTCTCTGCCTACCAGCGCCCCCCCCCCATCACTTTGCTGCCTAGCTATTAGCTGTTCAGTGTTTTATTAGACTAATCAGTTGCCTTAGGCAGGTAAGGTAAAACAAATGCAACATACCTTTACACAGTTAAGGTAATATTCTGCAACAAGGTTCCTTCTTCCTAGGTGACTCTAGTTTGTACCAAGTTGCCAATAACTAACTGGTACGATTCCCTTTTAAGCTCCCTGGTAGAAGTATACACCGGTAAAGTCTTCTGGAGGGCAACTGAAAAAGAATCTACCAAAATTAAAACGTAATTTTGGCTCATGATTTCATTTTAAAAAATCCACCCTTTGAAACATCTATCTACACGCACCAGGATGAGTGTGCAAGGAAGTGACTCTCAGGGTCCCCCTGAATCAGGAATACCCTGGGGGTATCTCTGGGTGCTTTGTCATACAAGACTCCTCAAAATTTCAAGGGATTTTGATGAGTTAAAGAAGCCAACTATGGGGTTAACAGCGGAGCCTGGCTGGCTTGTGGAGCATGCGTGAGGTCCAGGGCTTGTTCTTCAGCAGGCACATAAACCAGGCATAGTGGAACACGTGTGTAATCCCGGCACTCAAGACGTGAAGGAAGGGGGATCAGAAGTTCCAGGGCATCCTCAACTATATGTTGAGTTTGATGTCAGCCTGGGATACTAGCCCTGTCTCAAACAAAACAAAAGACAAAAACAAAAACCAACCAAACAAACAAACAAAAAAACCCCATCACAATCATGTGAACCATGGAAAATTTTAAAACACAGTGTGGATCTAATATATGTGTAAATGCCTAGAGAAAGGGCTATGGGGCAAGCACCAAGCTAGGTGATAGGGAAGAAGAGCGAAGGCACAGGTGGAGGGGAAAGTTCACATTCTATGCCTTGTGTTTCTCTGCTGTTTGTTTCCAGCATGTCCTAGGGAGGTTTGCAGAGGGGCTCTCTCAGGTGATCCAGCAGATGGTGCTCGCTTGTGGAGATGTAAGCCAGAAGTAAGCTAGGGGTGCGGGCATCCCTGGCTCTGTGGGCTCTGGGTTGCCTGGACATCTGTCTTTGTGGGTACTAGCCAGTGGAATCACTGAGGCTATAACAGAGCCATGCAAAGAACACCTGTCAACGCCATCTCCGCCCCTCCCCCCACCAGCCTGCAATGTTTCCAAGGCCCCAATCCTGGGGCATCTCAAACCCAAGGCTGGCCTGCTTTCAGAGTAGTGAATACCAAGTGCTATGGTATTTTCTGACTTTTCTTAATTATGTCCTTCTGGAGAAGAATAAGGTCAGCCACGGTGACAGGCAAAACCAAGGACGTTGGGGTAGGTTTGTAGAGTGTGGTCGTGGCTGTGGCTTTCATTTTCCCTGGGGCAAAGAAGCCTGAGGCTGAGGTCAGAGCTTCCCAGCATCTAGATGCTGAGGCATATTGGGAAATGTCAGAAATTGCCACCCACACCTTGGCAAGGGAGAGAAGAGACTTAGAGGGCTTCACAGCGTGGGGACCATGGTGTGACATCAGGAAGAGTCTGCGCTTGGTTTCTGAGGGTTCAATAACAGTGTTGCTATTTTATTCTCACTCAGAGACTAACATTGAGTGCGGATGTGAAGAAGGTGAGAAAAGAAGCGATATGGACGTCAGAGGGAAGAAGAACCAAGCCAGAGGAAGGATTGTGTGTCTAAGGTTGGAAGAAGAGTCAGAGAGCCGTAGTTGAGCCATGGTAGCTGGAGGAGAGTAGGAGGTACCATTAGAAGGCACGGTTGAGTGAGGGGTCGGACTTGAGAACTGCCCTCACATCTTGCAAGAACTGTGTCTTTTATTTTGGATGAGCTAGGGAGACACTGGCACCGGAAAGCCGGTGCATGACGCATCAGGCTGATGCTTTTACAGGATGACTCCGGCTGGTGCGGTAGAACACACTGTAAGTGAGGGAAGAGAGTGGCAGGCAGGCGCCATGGGGTGATGGGGTAATGGGGTGGGGGCGTGGAGGTGGGGAGGCACCTGCAACACATCAAAGGAGAGGCGGGAGCTGAGCCTTTCTTCACTGGGTGGCCAGTACCAGAATCACCTTTAGGGCTCCTGAGAACACAGGTTGTCCCCCACCCCCATTCTAGTTGCTCCTCCTCTTAGTCTGGGGTGAGGCCCAGGAATTTGCATTTCTATAATTCCCTGGTGATGCAGCTGGTTTGGGAATCCCACCCAGGGGCCCTTTAAGATTTCCTTCACAGCACTGATGAAAACTTAGTTAGTAATTGCTGCTTCTAAACACTCAAGGAAGCTCTTTGTCATTCCTGTGTCCCTAGTGCCTCATGTTTGGCCCAGCAAAAATGTATGTATGTTGGGCACAGGCTTTTGGCCACACAGGATTAGCGAAGGAACTTGTCGAAAATTCCTCATTTGAACTGTTTGGTAGTGTTTGGTGATGAAACTCACAGAAGTGGTCACTAGAGCAAAGGGTTCGTTATACCAACCGTAATAACAGCAAGCATGGCGCATACCTGGTGTCTGGTCAGGTGTTTTATTTATAGCTTCTCCAATTAAGTCCTTGTAAAAGCCCTGCAAGTCAGGCCTTAGTGCTTCTGTTTTATAAATGAGGAAACCAAAGCTCAGAGAGTTAAATTTTCCCAAGGCCACACCATTGGTAAATACCAGAACCTAGCTTGGCTTGAATGACAGCTCTGGGATCATACTGTCTCAAGATGTCATTGGTCAAATGTGGACGTCTGAAAGGTCCTCTGGAAGCCTCAGCTTCTTTCCTTGGGGATTATTAGCTTGTTGCAAAATGTGGATGCTGTATCTTTCCCTTAAAGTAACACACCCCCTTCCTCCCAATCACCACCTGCCTTTTGTGTTTTTTCTTGAGTAGAGAGCCCTGTCCGCACAGCGGGTTTCCAGCCTCAGGTCTTTCCTGAAGGAGTCCTCGTTCCCTACAAGGTAGCAGTGGCCACAGCAGACTTCTGTGTTTTCCACCAGCCACTGATGGCATGCTTTTCATTCAGTTCATGCCCACTTCCCAGTCTCTTCCTGCAGGGCTATGGGCACTGTATTCCGTGCTGGGGAATTAAAGCTTGACAAATTGAGGCCAGCTTGTTTCCAAATGGAATCCAGCCCTCTCACTACAGGAGAGAGGGGGAAAACATCATGGTCCAACACTTCCCTCCCTCCTCAGCCTTTCTCTTCCTGCCCTGGCAGGGGATAAAAATAGCATCTCTTAGGACCTGAGTGTGGACGGGGCAACTGTGAGCTTGAAGCCGGGCAGGGCAGAGAGCAGCTGCTCTCCACAGGCATGGAGGGAGGCATGAGGTCAGTGTACAGGCTACAAGGATGGGATGACCCTGGTCCGGAGGAACTGAGGCGGAACACTTGGGAGCCAACCTGAGTGACAACTCTTGGTGTGAGCTTGGTTGTCATGGTAGGGAACTCCAACTCCCCAATATTCCTTTTCAGAGTCTCTGGCGCATATCAGAGATTCTTACTTAGCGTGTTTAGGGAACAAAGGCTTCTTAGAGCAAGCAATGAAATGAAAAACCACTTTGGTGTATGTGGAAGCATCCATGGACACAGACAGCAATTCATAGCATACATATACTGCATATTTCCGGGGAGGGGGGGAGCATGGACCACAGGTTAAAACCCCAGATGCTTGTTGACTTACAGCGAAGTAGAACTAGAATAAGAAATACAAATTCGTCACATATAAAAACAAGCTTGCTGGGCGTGGTGGCGCACCCTTTAATTGAGCACTTGGGAAGCAGAGGCAGGCGTATTTCTGTGAGTTTGAGGCCAGCCTGGTATGCAGATCAAGTTCCAGGCCGGCAAGGGCTACATAGTGAGACCCTGTCTCAAAAAAACCAAAACCCAAGCCCAAACAAAAGAACAAAAGCCAAGATATAAAATAAAAACAAGCTTACTAAAGTTTTGCCTAGGTCTTTCTGGAAAGAGTGGGGCATACAAATCCCAGGGAACAGACTCGCGAAGGTCAAGACTGACTTCTGATGATGGGATAAGGGAAGACTACTTACCCACGCCGTCTCACTAAACAAAACAGCATCCGAATGCACCCAAGACTTGGGGCGCATCTGGGGAAGAATGGAAGGACCAGAGGTTTACCATGGACCAATCAACCCCAGCAATCAACAATGTGGGCCAGGGACTGGCTATCTTTACAGAGGCTGCACCCAGAACCCTTCGCCTGGTCAGGTCACTTCATTATTTTTGGATTAACTTTGTTCCTCTTTATCTTATTTTCTTCATTCTTTGCACATTCCACACATGTAAACAACGTATGTTATTTATATCAACCAGGACTCGCTGCCCCTACCACGACTTCAAGTCTGCGACGACGCGGCGTGCACGCGCGCTCCAGACCCGGGCGCTTTCAGCCGGGCGGAGCGTGCGTGCGCGCCCTCGGTCACGCGCACGCGCGCGTCTCCGCCGGTAGCTCCCTCCCTCCCCCGCCCTCCCGTTCCCGGGCGGCCGGTCTGAAGCGGCGGCGCTATGAGCTGGCCGGCCGCCCCCGGCTCGGGGCTGTGAGGCGCTCGGGGCCGGGGTGCGCGGAGGCGCGGCGGGCGGCGGACGCTCCTGCTCGGCGGCGGCCATGCGCGCGGGCCGGGGCGACGTCCCAGGGACCGGCGGCCTGAGGGCCCCGCCGCCGCCGCTGCTGCTGCTGCTGCTGGCGCTGCTGCCCGCCGCCGCCCCACGGTCCCCGGCCCTGGCCGCCGCTCCTGCGGGGCCCAGCGTGAGCCTCTACCTGAGCGAGGACGAGGTGCGCCGGCTGCTCGGTGAGTGGCGCCGCTCCCGGGGCCTCGTGAGCCCGCGGTGCTGCCGCCCGCCCGCGCGCGCTCGCTCGCCCGCTCTCGCCGCAGCCTCTCTGCGCGTGTCACTCTAGGCCGCGGAGCTCCGGAGTCTCGGAGTCGGCGCTTCGGACTTGGGTGGCCGTCCCTTAGCTTGCTGTGGGTGGCCCAGAGGCCACGCTGCTGCGCGCGTGCTCTCTGGTTAGCGAGTGGGGCAAGGTGAGCCGGGCGCCCCGGGTGTGTGGCATCCTGCACACCTTAGGCCGACCGGACCTGCACCTTTGAGGCTGGGCTTGGGGGTCGTTGAGTGTGACCTGGGGCTGCAATTCCAGGCCACTCGCCTGCTCTGCAGACCCAGGAGCGAGAAGTTGGCTTTGGGTCGGTCGGTGGTTGCGTATACCTGGTTAGCTCCGTTGTGTGGGAGTCGGTTTGGAAAATGATTCCCCCCCTTCGTTTGGAACTTTGGATTCGGAAGGTCAGCCTTTCAAGGAAGGCCTGACCAGCCATCAGAAGGAAGTCTCTGGTTGTTGACCATACCCAACTTTCACCTTTTGTGCATTAAGGCAGTCCTCTTGGTCTCAGGGTGTGGCATTTCTGAGTGGAGTGTTGGAACTGAAAAGTTCGCCTCCTAAACATCCATTTCTGTCACTTTTATTTTAGTGGGCGCGCATTTTTCTCTCCCTCCTTCTCTCTCTTTCTCTCTCTCTGTGTGTGTGAGAGGAGTTTCTTCTCTCTCTCTCTCTTTCTCTGTGTGTGTGTGTGTCTGTCTGTCTGTCTGTCTGTCTGTCTGTCTGTCTCTCTGTCTCTCTCTCTCACAGGGATTCTGTGTAGCCCGGGCTGTTCTGGAACCCACTATGTAGACCAGGTTGGCCTCGAGCTCACAGGCCAGCCTGTTAGTGTGTTAGTGGAGTTTCTTGAGGTCTGTTGAGAGAGCTCAGCATCGGCATGAAATTGCTTTTAGCAGACTGTTTAGACTTTGCTGTACGTGTGGGTTCGTATTCTAACCAAAGAGGACTTGTGTTTTTGTAACGTCCTGTCTTAATCCTCCTTATAGTCTGAATTTCGTCTAGCAGAATTGAAACTGCATCTCAGTTGCTCTTGGAACATGGGAGAAGGGCTTAAGAAAAATGACGATTTGTAAAGCAACTCCTAGGCTAGGCATGCTGTTGTAAAGTGTTGTTGTTGAAAGAACTTACACAGTTGTGACTTTATCAACATGCACTTCCTCTTCTCCTGTCTCAGCCTGGATGGAAGTGGGGGACAAAAACAGCTAGCTGCACCCATGGACCGAGTGCTTACACGTATGTAGATATGCCGCACATTAGGAGCTTGCTTGCTTGCTTGATTTATTTATTTATTTATTTATTTATTTATTTATTTATTTATTTATTTATTTTTGTGTGTACCAGGATGTGTTTGTTGTGTGGAGGTCAGAGGACAATTTGTGGGAGTAGCTTGTCCCCTTCCACAATATGGGTCCTAGGACTTGAGCTCAGGTGATCCACTGTGACTTCTAGCACCTTTATCTGCTGAAGCCATCTTGCTGGGGAGCAGTGTAAACTTATACATGTTACTTCTTCTCAGTTTCTTGTTATCCAGTGGGGTAAGTGTCCCGGGAGATGAGGAAAGTGAGGCTTTAAATAACTTGCTTGAGGTGACATGGCTTATTTCATACATTACATATATAGTTTATGCCCACACAAAACAGTGTTTGCTGGCTGCAGACTAAGTTTAAGGCATGACGATATTGTGTATATAGAAGTTTGATGATGGCCTGTTAGAAAAGAGACCACTGCTCTTTAGTACTTGAAGTGATTCCTTTGTAGCCAGCAACTGATTTTCTTAGGATTGATGAGCTCTCGACTGTGCTCACTCTGGCGAGTGAGCAGTGTGTGATGTGGAGGTGGGGAGCTTGCCTCCTAGTTCTCTCTCATCCACCCTGAGGTATTATCTGCCAAGCAAACTGAGTTGACCTATTAGTGTAGCGTCTAAATCTTCATCTACCAGAGCTTGGGCCTCTTTCTGTCCCTTAATGTCACATTCAGAGGCGCTGCCTTTGAAGGATTCTCTGGCTTTGTCTGGGTGGCACAAAGTAAGAAGTGGGATGTCTGCAGGGTCTCCTGAACGTGGCTGTTATGGTGTGCACTACTTGGAATAGTGCGTTCCTACATATTTTCAAATGCTTACATGGTTGAATGCCTTCCAAAAGCTTAGATAAGCTAATCTTCATTTCAGAGCGTTTCTAAGACAGTGGGTTCAGAATGCCAAGTAAAAACTTAGACCTCAGTAGTGACAACTTTATATGTTGAACTAGCTGTGCTTGATAGAAGTGGTTTTAATTCAGTCACTACAAGCACACAGCAAAAAAAAAAAAAAAAAAAAAATCCAATAGCAAAAGAGGGCTTAACCCAGAAACTATCAGTACCCTCCCTGCCTTTGGCCCTTTTGTTCTGTGGGCCCCACTCCCCCAGTGGTCATAGTTCTCTCAGCTGTTCTGTTTATTTTTTCCTTGTTTTTCTTTTGAATTTCTACACCAGAGTGGAATGAGCATTTGTCTTCCAGAATCATTCCTATAAACCATACTCTCCAATGCAGTTTTTTTTAAAAAAAATCTTTAAATGATTTATTTTTGTTTCATGTGCATTCAAGTATATGAGAGTGATGGATCCCCTGGCACTAAAGTTACGGACAGTTGTGAGCTGCCACGTGGGATGCTGGGAATTGAACCTAGGTCCCTCTGGAAGAGCAGCCAGTGCTCTTAACCTCTGAACCCCTCCAGTGCATTTTAAAGCCAGAAGTCAGTATTGATAATTGCTGTATACAAATACATTGTCCTTGTCTGAATTGAATAGAAACTGGCCACTCCACCCCCACCCCATTTTTTGTTTCCCCAGGAGCAAAGAGCTGGATTTTGAGCTTTTCTGATTAGTCTTGCCTTGTGTCTGTGCCTGTATTCCCTCAGGTACGTGCTGAGTGCTTTTGATTCCCCGCTTCTCCCAGCCCTCCCTTCAGGTAGCATTTCAGGACATCTGTTAGTTCCATTGCATTGCTCCTAGTGATGTCGTGATGTACTGTCATCCACACTCTTGCTTCAGGCTGGGCAGTAGCACTTTGTGCCTCCTCCGCCCTCTTTTGGTCTCTTGTCCTCTGCTTTCTTGATTTGCTTTCCTTTGCTGATTGTGCATGTCCTCAGCACAGCCCTCAGAATGGTGGGGTGCATGGGGAAGAGAAGTTATTTGAGGCCCAACATGTCTGAACATTTTCATTTTATCCTCACACTTTGTAGGCAGTCTGACTGGCTTTAGAATTTTAGATTTTTGTTTATAATTCTTAACGGTGTTTTTTTCTTGTAAGAATTTCAAATAAAAGATCTGAAATCATTTTTAAACCTCCCACCCCCACCCCACACACAGTTTTTAGACTTTCAGAGTGTTTTCCTCTGGCATTCTAAAGTGTTTTGTGTGTTTGTTTGTTGAGACAGGGTTTCTCTGTAGCTTTGGAGCCTGTCCTGGAACTTGCTCTGTGGACCAGGCTGGCCTCGAACTCACAGAGATCTGCCTGGCTCTGCCTCCTGAGTGCTGGGATTAAAGTGTGTGCCACCACCGCCTGGCAGCATTCTGAAGTTTTATAAGCAAGCATTTGGGTTCATTTGTTAATCTGGATGCAAAGTCTTCCAATTTTGGGAGGGTCTGTTCACTTTTTAAAAATATTTATTTATTTTTTATTTATTATGTATACAATATTCTGTCTGTGTGTATGCCTGCAGGCCAGAAGAGGGCACCAGACCTCATTACAGATGGTTGTGAGCCACCATGTGGTTGCTGGGAATTGAACTCAGGACCTTTGGAAGAGCAGGCAATGCTCTTAACCTCTGAGCCATCTCTTCAGCCCTCTGTTCACTTTTTAAATAATATCCTATGCCTTATTTTTTCCCATATATTTTTTTCTGAGATGGCTGTCCTGTGTCTATTGAGTCTCCAAGTTGATCTTGAAGTTTTCTTATCTTACCTTTTATTTCTTTGTAATGAAGCTAGTAGACAGAGAGTTTTCTTTTTCATTTAAAAAATATTTGTAAGTTTTAGGATTTTTGTTCTCTATATTTCATTGTGTCTTATGAGTGTGTCATCCTCATTTTTCTCAGAGGTGTGTATTTTTTTTTTTTTTTTGGCCTTTCTGTTTCAGTTCTGTTTATGGTCATAGATGGATGATCCTTGGCTTTGTTAGTAGGAGTGAGATGCTGGGATTGACAGGAGAGATGTGGATGAATCCTGATGCCTCCTGGGATTGACAGGAGAGATGTGGATGGGTCCTGATGTCTGCTGCAGTACAGATGGACTTTGTGCTGGAAGCCTGTCCAAAACACCAGCGTTTGTATCCAATTAGGGTTCTGCTCAGTGTCGGTAAAGAAGCCTTTGGAAACTTCCTGTCTCTGGAATGCTGGGTGATAAATCAGCTGTCAGGATTTGGACTACCTGGCTGGGGGAGGAATGGAAGTTATCACCCTTTGGGTTATAGGCTTTGACTACTGGCTATAAAATCCCCTCCCTTTTGGCTCTATTTCCTTGACCTTGGGTCTCCTGCTGAACCTGGGGACCTGCAGCTTTGAGTATTTGCAGAGTGGCTCCTTCCTTGTAAGTCCTGACTTCCGGGCAGCCTTTGGTACCTCCTAGGTACACATCTAGAACTGAGCCTTTGAGGGATCATGAGGTTGTGATCTCCTCTACCTGCTTTCCATCAGCAAAAGTTTGCTAAAATATATGATATTTTCCTCTTCCTATCTTGGCTTGATATATGCGGTTCCTTTACTGTCTAAAGCCTTGAGACGTTCTTAGCTGTGTAATGGCAGCTAAGCTTGGTCCTTACTGAAGATGACTTGTGGCAGTTGTTTTGTAGGGAGTGCTGCTGATGTGTGGAAGTCCTTTGCCTGTGTCAAATACATCGTCCTCATAGGTGTGTACTGCCACTTTCACCCTGTACACAGGGGCTGC